GCCAGTAGAGTCCATGTCAACTCACCTGAAATTCCTAGACCTACTGGCGCATAAGAGATTCACAAAAAGTGATTCTTTGCCAAAAATTAGTTATAGAAATTATAATGAGATATATTCACTTTAGCCAGACCTATCGGAAATTACATTTTATTATTGGAGCTCAACTTGTAGAGTAGTTACCTACTTTTTAGTAAAATTTACCTAGTAGTAGTAGCACTAGTAGTAGCAGTAGGTCTAGGGCCTAACAGGTGGTAGTTCTTAGCATGTTGACTACAGCCTGTATTGGCTCAGATTTATTTTTATGCTATCCGATAATGTTTTTGAAAAACTCTTCTTTGTATCTTTAGGGAGTAGTATTTAAGTGGAAAGCTAGCTGGGGATTTAGCTCAGTGGTTCCACCGCCTGCCTTGCCAAGCTCAAGGTCCCGAGTTCTATCCCCGTTACAAAACAAACAAATAAGTGGAAAGCTAGTATTTCTGTAGGTTGATAAGTTTAGGAAATGGTAGTTGAATATGAGTCAAGTGTAATCCCTTCCTGGAGTTTTCCATTTTATAAAATTATGTTGTCTGTTAACATCTAAAGGCAAAATCATCTATAAAAAAACTGTAAACTTAATAGTTTGAGGTGAGATTATTCAGGATTATTAAGGAATTTTTACCCTTTTTTTTGGTACTGGGAATTGAACTCAGGGCCTCAGGTTTGCCAGGCAACCCTCTGCCACTAAGCTACATCCTCAGACCAGGAATTTTTACTTTTGACCTTTTTTTTCTTTAAAAAAAAAAAACTGTAAGGGCATTTTAAAGGGTATTTAGATCTGACTGATAAGTTAGTGAATTCTCATGTCAGATCCAGGGCAAAATGATGTTTAGAGTGAATACAGCTTCTTTGCCCTGATAATAGCTAATAGCACTAGTTGAACAAAGTTCAAATGAAAAAGAGAGAGTATGCACTTACATATACTGAAAATTCTACCACCAGAAGTATTAAATGCCTTTTAAGTCATAATCACACTGAAGCTAGTTGAAAACATGGCTGGGAATATAACGTACCTGACAGAAAAATGTTTCAGAATTAGTGTGGAGGCATGGGTCTTTAGTACATAGAGAAAGAGTTCTGTCATATGGGAAGGCTTTCTGGCCCAATGACAAGTCTGAATTTGGCAAATGGGAGTCTGTGTGCTGAAATGATCCTGTCTTTCATGTATTAATAAAAATCAAGTTTCTGATCCTAAAATTTTTAGGACCAGATATTATCTCTACTGAAGTCACCAAGTTTAATGCCAGATTTTTTTTGGTGCCGGCGATCGAACTTGGGTCCTTCCACTTGCAAGTCAGGGGGTGGAAATGCCAGATTTTTAAGGTCCTCTTTTTAGTCATTGAGTCTCTCACTGATGACAGCCTGACCTCACCAGAAGTGAAAGATAATGGAATGATGTGTTTGCTGGATCCTGGACATTGGAGAAAATGAACCAGAAGCCTAGGGCAAAAGAAATAATGAAGGAGTCAGGGTTCTTCTTTTTGTTTGTTTTCTATGCCTTGTGGTCATGGCAAGTTAACATTTCTATTTTCTACTTTGTACAGTAGAAAGAAAAACATCTTGGTGTCTATGATGCTATGAAAAGTTTGTTTTCTGTAGTAGGTGCTGTTTCTCTAAAATAGATTTTAAAAGTTCTGAGTTGCCAGGTGTTACGCACATGCCTATAATCCCAGTTTATTTGGGAGGCTGAAGCAGGAGGATCAAAAGTTCAAGGCCAGTTAGGGCTTGCTCCATCTGTCTGTCTGTCTATCTGTCTCTATCTCTATGGGTTTTTTTTGTTTTTTTGAAACAAAGTCTTGTTTATGTAGCCCAGGGTAGCCTCAAACTCCTGGCAATCCTCCTGCCTCTACCTCCTGGAGTGCTGGGATTACAGGCGTGTACCACATGCCCAATCCATCTTGACCAGTTTAGTGAGACTTTGTCTCAAGATAAAATTTAAATAAGGGCTGGGGATGTAGCTCAGTAGTAGAACACTTACCTAGCATGTGTGGCTCTGGGTTTGATCCTCAGCGCTGTGGGAAAAAAAAAAAAAGTTCTGTAAAGATTATTTTCATCGGGCTAGGGATTTAGCTCAGTGGCTCTGGCACCTGCCTCTCATGCACAAGGTCCCAAGTTCAATCCCCGGTAACAAAAAAAATATTATTTTAATTTAGGATCTGTTTGGGGAAGTGTTCTCATTGCTGTATTAAATTTGTAGCAGTACTATTAGAGTTGCCCAGATTTTTAGACTCCTGGCTATAACAGGGCTAAAATATTAATATTCTTTCCTGATTTTCCTTCTAGATCCCATTTCCCACCTGAGGAAACTCATTTAAAGCTGAAATCAGCCTTCTAGAGTTATGTTGCTAGCATTTTCTTCAGACTTGCTCTTCTGGGATTAAAAAAAAAGACATAAATTAAATTAGATTTAGACAAAACAATGTCTTTTTTTCAAATTCTGATTCCTCAGAAACTTTCATTGTGGGCAGAGGGAAAACAAGAATTAACCTGCTACTCAAATAACATATGCTAAGGCTCATAACAAATTGACTGGATTCTGAAGAGCTTCACTGTTTTATTAGTCATAAGAACTTGGAAATTTTTTTTTTATTGTGAACTACACTGTACTTACACATAAATGTACTGTATCAAAAAGAAAATGAAAACAAATACCTGTTGCTTGCCCCTGAGATTAGGAAATGGAATATCAGTGCTATCTTAGAAGCTTGTGTGTATCCCTTGCCTGGGGCTCCTTGCAGCCCTGCCTTGGGTGTAATCATTCCCTTGCATGTATTCCCAGACAATATGTGATTAATTTTGAAAGAATAAATACACTAGTGAACAGATACCCAGCAGTAAGGAAGAAATACTACTGCCTTTATTATATGTAGTCCTCTGAGAGAATATAATCTGAATAGTCTCTGCATCAGGATCTGACTTCATTTTCTTCTAAAAGTTTAAGCCCCTTTCAGAGAAGTCAGTGAGAAAGGTCATGGGTGAGTAATGAGCGATCTGTAACCAATTATTAGGCATCTGGCAGAAATATCAACAGATACTCAAGTGCATTTTTCATCTAAGCTCACCATGGTCTTTTTTGACCTTTTAGGAGTAAGTCAGAACAGAACACTTCCATGAGTGAAGTGAGTATCCGCAGGGCATGAAGAGGAAAGTATTTCATCAGCACCTGGTCAAAACAATACAGAGTCAGTACTGTAGATGTGTTGATACTTTGGTTAAAAATGCATAGTGAGGGCCGGGGAATTAGGTCAGTGGTTTCGCCGCCTGCTGCGCAAGCACAAGGACCCAAGTTCAGTCCTCGGTACCAAAAAAGAAATGCATAGTGACAGGCACTTGTGATGGCCAACAGTGTCAGGTTTAAAAAGGCCTATGAATTTTTGTGAGTTATATATATATTATAGATATTCTTTAATGACTTATGGTCCTGAGAATGAATTGGTGGCTAAGTGAGGAATTACATATAGTATGTACATTACAATATTCAGAACAAAGAAACTCCAGCTTGATGACTTTACATTTATTTGCGTAGTAGTGCCTACATGCAGTACTGTAATGTATAACAGAACTCAGTACTGTACAGTACAATCAGCAAAAATTACAGAACTGTATAAACAAGGTGTATTGTACAAAAAGAGACTTTTAGGCTCTATAAACAAGATGTACAGAACTGTGTTAAAAAAAAGATGGGTCTTAAGTCTGAACAGTGCACCTTGGTTGTAAGTCTTAACAGTTGTTAAACAGGTAGGTTGTTAAATGAGGAATGCCTATATATTTACCTTGTAAAATTACCATGAAAACATAATTTGTCATCTGAAAATTTAAAATCATTGAAGCTTCTAGGTATCAAACATACAAAGCTTGCAGATGATATAAGACTAATGTTCATTTAGCCTGTTTTGTAAATGATTTCTTATTTAAATAGGAAAAATTTGAGTTATTCTGTTTTGCTTTCTTTAAAATAATTCCAAATTTACAGAAAATTACTATGTAGTACAGAGAACTCATGTATACCACGTTCGCCAAATTCTGGCATTTTGCCATGTTATATACTGCTTCCACACATATGTTCATCTATCATTTTAAATGTAAAAATGCATTTTTAAAAAATTATCTGAATTTAAGTTTTATATATCATGACCCTTTACCCTTTAATGTATTAGCTTCTAGTCCCACAGAAGGATATTCTTACATGATAGCACAGATAACAAATTCAGGGAACTTAACATTACTGCGATGTTTTTTAGCTAATATAGTTCATGTTCCAGTTTTATCAGTCACGTCCTTTTTAGCATTTCTCCTCTTTGTATACAGAATCTAGTTCAGGGTTGGATGTTAGTTGTCATTTCTGTTTAATTTTGTGTAATCCAGAATAATTCTTCAACCTTTGTCTTTTATGGCATTAACATTTTTTGAGAACACACAGGTCAGTTATTTTTTTAGAGAATGTTCCTCATAATGGTTGCCCCTGATTAGATTCAGGTTGTACATCCCCATCTGAAATACCACATTAGTGATAATCTGTCTTTTCAGGAAATTACATCTAAAGGCACACAGTGTCCATCAGCAGCTAATTTGTGATGTTAATTTTGATCACTCAGTTAAAGTATTTCATTTATCTATTATATAGTTACTATTTTTTCTATTACAAGTAACATGCACTCTATCGGCAGACACTTTGAGATCATGTAAATGTCCTGATCCATCAAACTTGGATCTCAAGGTTTAGGAATGGTTCTTTAATGATTCTTACTCAAATTAGTCTTTATTTTGAAAATTCAAAGTGAGGGGTCACCTTTCTACATTACATTGCCCTGGTAACTCAACTTCATTTTCCAAACATATATTTACTTGTTTATTTAAAGGCTGTGATTTGTACACATTACATAGTATAATTGCCAGTGCATTTTAATTTTAAATGTTTTTTAAAACCTCTGGGTTTATTTTTAATCCTTTGCTGCCCTCTGCAGGTCTATGAACATACATCTTTGGAGTAAGGTGCGTACTTCTAAGAATGCAAATCATAAGTTGTATGTAAAAGTCCATTAAAAGCAAAAGTTTTATTCATTATGCTGTTCTTCTATAAATTAATAGATTTAAAATCTTAGAAGTGGTAGTTGTAAAATAGCAAGAAATTTGTTAATGAAAGTAGCCCTTAATAACTATGTACTGTGAGCATGCACTAATAAAAGTGAAATTTTAAAATTCCACAATAATAAAACTTAACAATTTTGAAACACTGGTAGCAAGTGGAATTTTGGAAGAAAAACTTGTCAAATATGTAGTATTATAAAAAGAAATAGAAACAGTGTGGGATGTTTCTTAGCCACTATTGTCTTTGTTACTTTATTTTATGATAATAAAAATACTAATAAAGTGCAAAGAAAAAAGAAAGTAGCCCTTGACTTTGTCCTTAATTTTATTGTTTGAACTTTTCCAAAAGAATACTGTTAAATTGTCACAATGACATTTGACCTTTATTTATTTTGATATATATTTGTTTGTGTTTCTATATATGAATGGGATGCAGACCAATTTTATATTGCTACCCTTTTGAGCAGTTAACTGGTTTTATATAGGAAGTAAAATTATGAACTATGGAAAATTTTCAACTTAATAAAATTAAACAATTGGAATTTTCAATTTAAATATGTTTTAAAATTTAGATTTCATCCAGTTCTTTTTCTAGTATTATTTGAACTGCCATTCATACTGTATAGTCAAATCTAATATATAGTGGGGGCATTTATAGCTAGAAGTAATTATGCTTTGACTAGCGAGATTTCCAGTGTATCTTTGTTTCAAATTTGCCATTAAATACTGCTGTAAGGGCTGGGGATTTAGCTCAGTGGTTCCACCACCTGCTTCACAAGCACAAGGTCCCAAGTTCAATCCCTGGTACCAAAAAAAATATATATATATA